GTTATCTCGCAGACTCCTCACATGTTATCTCGCACAGACTCCTCACACGTTATCTCAAACAGACTCTTCACACAATATCTCGCACAAACTCCTCACATGTTATCTCGCACAGACTCCTCACACATTATCTCGCAGACTGCTCACACGTTATTTCAGACTCCTCACACGTTATCTCGTAGAATCTGCACACGTTATCTCACAGACTCCTCACACGTTATCTTGCACACTCCTCACTCGTTATCTCGTGCAGACTCCTCACTCGTTATCTTGCACAGACTCCTCACAACTTAATCTCAAACAGACTCCTCACACGTTATCTCGCACAGACTCCTCACATGTTATCTTGCACAGACTCCTCACAAGTTATCTCGCACATACTCCTCACAGGTTATTCTGTAGACTCCTCACACTTTATCTCGCAGACTCTTCACACGTTATCTCACGCAGACTCCTCAGTTGTTATCTTACACAGACTCTTTACACATTATCTCACAGCCTCCTCACACATTATCTTGCAGACTGCTCACACGTTATCTTGCAGATTCCCTACACGTTATCTCGCAGACTCCTCACATGTTGTCTCGCAGACTCCTCATATATTGTCTCGCACAAACTCCTCACATGTTACCTTGCACATCCTCATCACATGTTGTCTTGCACAGACTCCTCACATGTTATCTCGCACAGACTCACACGTTATCTCGCAGATTCCTCACACAATATCTCGGAGACTCCTCACACATTATCTCGCACAGACTCCTCACATGTTATCTCGCACAGACTCCTCACACATTATCTCGCACAGACTTCTCACATGTTATCTTGCAGACTCCTCACACATTATCTCGCACAGACTTCTCACATGTTATCTCGCACAGACTCCTCACAAGTTATCTTGCACAGACACCTCACACGTTATCTCGCAGACTCCTCACATGTTATCTTGCAGACTCTTCACATGTTATCTTGCACAGACTCCTCACACGTTATCTCGCACAGACTTCTCGCACGTTATTTTGCACAGACTCCGCACATGTTATCTCGCACAGACTCCTCACACGTTGTCTCGCACAGACTCATCACAAGTTATCTCGCACAGACTTCTCACAGGTTATCTTGCAAAGACTCCTCACACGTTATCTCACACAGACTCCTCAGTTGTTATCTCACAGACTCCTTACACCTTTTCTTACAGACTCCTCACACGTTATCTCGCAGACTCCTCACACGTTATCTCGCACAGACTCCCCACACGTTATCTCGCACAGACTCCTCACATGTTATCTTGCAGACTCCTTACACCTTCTCTCACAGACTCCTCACACATTATTTTACAGAATGCTCACACATTATCTTGCAGAATGCTCACACATTATCTTGCAGACTGCTCACACATTATCTTGCAGACTGCTCATACTTTATCTTGCAGATTCCTCACACATTATCTTGCACAGACTCCTCACACATTATCTGGCACAGCCTCCTTATCCAATATGGTGATGTGATTAATGTACTTACTGTGATCACAATTCTTGCCTGTCCATCCTGGTTGACAGTCACAGATGTAGTCGCCTACAAGATTTCGACAATTGAATGCATGTACACATGGACTGCCTTGACATTCATTTTGATCCAAAGCACAATTAGCACCATTCCATCCAGGTAAACATAAACACTGAAATCCATTAATTCCATCACTACAAGTACCACCATTCAAACATGGGCTATCTGTGCAGTCATCAATATTATCTGTACAAGTAACTCCAGTCCAACCAGGCGAGCAGATACAATGAAATTCTCCATTTGATTCTATACATGTAGCACTATTGAAACATGGATTTGATGCGCAGGCATGTTCAGCTGTTGAACCAAACAAAAGTTATTGAACATTCCAATCATGATTACTGAGAAATGAAAATTAATTATGTACATACCAAAATATATCCACAGTAACCGAGAGTAGTTAAGAAGGTTTGAGACAAGGCAAATGGTCGAACTAACATATTTACACTGGTTTCCATGGTGAGATTATTTCTTCGTATCTCAAAATTGGGTCAAAAAAGTCGTACATTATTATTCATACAAATCTATATTGCTAAAACTTATCAAAAACTTTACATATAATTTAGTCAGTTTTCAGTATGATATTACCATATTAATCTGGGTAAGAGCCCATGCCCAGGTAAACGACCACCCTCTAATTTTGATACAATAAACATATAAAAATTTGTGCTTACAACTCTTTCTAGGGGATTTGGATTATAACACGATCTAAATTCAACATTAAGCCTATAAACGTTCCATTGTTTTTAGTATAACAACAAATATTTCAGTTGCAGTTAGTTGGTTTTCGTTTATATTTGAAACTTTGTTCAGAATATATTTTGTTAATAATAAAACAAAAACAAATGTGTTTGAAAATGACACTTGGCGACATTGTAATACAAGCAGCCTCTCGGCTGAGATAGCTCCGCTGTTAGCAAGGCACATTTCAATTAAAGAACTGAAGATATCATTAGAAAATGAACAATACATGTATGTATAAGTATGTATAGCAATTGGACTTGTTGTTTTCAACAATAATTCAAAAATATATTTTTACCAAAAATGACATAAATATTCAACAAAATTAGATAATTGAAGATATCATCACAAAATGAACAAATCTGAAAGAGGTCCACATGTAGTACCTATATATGTAATATCAAAGCAATCAGACTTGCGGTTTTTAACAAGAAGTCAAAAATATCACTTTTTACCAAAAATAACAAAAATATTCACCAAAATTAGAGAATTGAGGATATCATCACAAAATGAACAAATCTGAGAGAGGTCCACATGTAGTACCTATATATGTAATATCAAAGCAATTGGACTTGCGGTTTTTAACAAGAAGTCGAAAATTTAATTTTTTACCAAAAATAACACAAATATTCACCAAAATTAGAAAATTGATGATATCATTACAAAATTAACAAATCTGAGAAAGGTCCACATGTAGTACCTATATATGTAATATCAAAGCAATTGGACTTTTGGTTTTTAACAAGAAGTTTAAAATATCACTTTTAACCAAAAATGACAAAAATATTCACCAAAATTAAGAAATTTAAGATATCATCACGAAATGAACAAATCTGAGAGAGGTCCACATGTAGTATCTATATTTGTAATATCAAAGCAATTGGACTTGCGGTTCTTAACAAGAAATCGAAAATATCACTTTTTACCAAAAATTACAAAAATATTCACCAAAATTAGAGAATTGAAGATATCATCACGAAATGAACAAATCTGAGAAAGTTCCACATGTA